CTGAACAGTTCAATCACATTAATCTGATTTTATCAACCCCCCCCCAAAAAAAAAAACACCTCACATACTGAGAAACAGAGTTGAAATAAATAGGAGTGAGTGGATAAATCCTCAGTTCGTCGACATCATCACACTCAGACCTGGATCTAAATATAGACAGATGCTCAGAGAGGGAGATAAAACACCAATCCTGTCTCGTTTGCCCCTGAGTGGAAGCTACAGATGTAATCAGGCTAAACAAACAGGCAGAGTGAGCAGGGACAAAGTATAATGTCAAATAATGAAAAAACAATTACAGAGACGGAGGATGATAACACACACACACACACTCACACTCACACACACACGTACTGCCTGCAGGGATGTAATTGCACAGTGTTTATTCCGTTATCATAAAATGTGTCAACTTCACAAAGGTCATCAGTGTTATTGCTTTTATCCAAAAATGAAACATTACGTTTGTCAAACTGTGATTACACGTGAAAAAAAAAGTCGTGGTGATGGTGATGAATTCTAATCTGGTGATTCCTCCTTATTTTTTTACTATTTGCGAGGCTAAACTTCCAAATGAAGACAAACTAACGTCACATCGTTTCCTGCTCCCGTCTGTGATTTCTGCTACTTTTGTTTGTCATGGAAACACAGTGACATAAACATAAAATTACTAACTGGTATCTGAAGGTGGCGCCCTTGTCCACTGGTCCATGATAATTTGTTTTTTTTTTCGCTCCATACGCTCGACTTACTTTTAGAGAACCGTGGCGGGTTGTCGTTGACATCGCTGAGGGTGATGTTGACTGTGGTGGTCCCTGCCAGCCCCCCCAGCTGGCCCCCCATGTCCTTGGCCTGGATTAGTACCTGGTACTGTTCCTTCACCTCACGGTCCATGTTGGGCAAGGCCGTCTTTATGACACCTGGTGGTGACAGAGGAGAATGATGAGGATTTCACAGAAGGTTAGCGGCAGAACGACACCAACACTCATTAATCAGGTTAATTATCAGTATTAACCCCGCGGTGACCAAACTGTTGGTGTGAACGTGAGTGTTTGGTTTTGTGATTGACTGGAGATCCGTGGTTGATTTGACCTCGTCTGATGACTGCAGAGATTGGTTCCACCTTCCTCCGTGACCCTGAGAAGGTTCAGGTTTTAGAAGATGAACCAATGAAAGAGTGGATTTTTTTTTTTTTTTAATTCCAGGTGTGAAATGGAGTTCAAAGTGAACGTTTTCTTCTCTGTAAAAAGAGTGAAATGAAGAACTGTAGACGTGGACGAGGTGTCGTCCTTCTGTCCTGTTCAGTGACCGGGACTAAAATAGAGGTCATCGCACAAACTGGAAACACTTGACATTCAGTGGGAACGGCTGCTGCCACGTAATGATCCACTGCAGGATCAGAGACCCACAAGTCTTTGTACTGCAAATTAGGGCCTGGGTCAGTGGGAGGTTGACTAGACTGGGAGACAGTGGGCTGCACACAGGGCTGCACACAGGGCTGCACACAGGGCTGCACACAGAGCCCCCTAGGTGTCTCATCGGTTCCTGCTCCTCCACCGTCTCCACGCTCTTATCTTTTTTTAAAAACAGGCAGCGTGTGAGAACCTGTCACTCCTAACAAGCGTGAGTCCAAAATCAAAGCCTGTGTTTGTTTTTGAAATGTCAATCATTATTTTTTTTAAGATGGGGGGGGGGCAGGTTTCTGACAGTGATAATTACTACGACATGGCTGGTGATTTGTCGCCCACATTCCCCACGCGGGTGTGTGTTTTTTTTCAGCTGTTTGTTTAGAAATGGATGCAGCCAGCAGGGAAAAGTCTTTACTTTAACAGTTTGATATTTTTCTCTTTTTTTTTCTCCCAGTTGGGATTTGAAATGCAGACCCAGGGTGGGTTCTGTTTGCAGGAATAATCAGCAGCAGGATCTGCCGGTGCGAAATGTATGAAGTTATTTTCATATGTTTTGAACTGTGAAAAACCAACAGCGGTGGAAGTCGACAAACACCGCTGTTATGGAAGTGTGGCCTCTCAGGTTCACATTTACATCTCACTGATGTGTTTGTTCTCTGAAAACATCCAGAAGAAAAAGTCTAGAACACGTGTACAAAGAACACGGGGAGATCAGCCTGACGTAGAGATGGGCCACAAGACCATTATAATGGCCCACGTGGAGCGTGAAATTCCTCGCCTTTGGTGGCCCAAGTTAGGTTTCCATAGTATGGGCCAAATGAATGTCAACTCCATACCATACCAGGTCCTTGTCTACCAGCAAATTAGATTCTCTGATCTGAATCCAGGCCTTATATTTGAGGTACAATATTTGGTCCACTGTGGAGAAAACCCTTTGTCCAACAATACAAGTATTTTTGAAAGTATTTCTGTGTCCAGAGTACTACATCTATACTGTCCATTTAGGCTCAGACTCTCGGTTTAATGTCGACCTAATAAATGACCCATTGATTTTCCCGGTGTCTCCTGCATCCCGTGGGCCACATCATGGGTTTGTTTTTGTCCTGCTGATGTTCCGTCCTTTCTCAGCCTCTGTCATATGACCTACATTTATCCAAGTAATTCCCATCATCCCAGACTAAAGACCCAGTTAGGATCCTGGGTTTTTCTTGTTTCTTCCTGCTGGTTTGACCCCCGCCCCTACCCCCCCCTCTGTCCCTCAGACTCTAAATCCAGTCTCTGGGCTGAGAGCGCTCACCTGTTTTGGGCTCCACAGAGAAGTAGGGCTGTCCGTGCAGGATGCTGTAGACCACCCGGGCGCTGTTTCCGTAGGTGGGGTCGTCGTCGTCCGTGGCCGTCACCTGTGTCACGTAGGTTCCTGTGACGGAGGAGACACACAGATAATGAGACACAGTTTCTGGCTCTGACCTCCCTTCTTTTCCTGTGGAGACAGAAATTCAAACTGTTTTTGGATCATCACTTTCTCCAGAATGTTCTCCGCTGACACTAATGAACAGTGAATCACAATTCAGTAAAAATAAAACACTGAGCAGCAGGACAGGAAAATGACTTTTTGATTAACAGGAACTTTTTTTTTTTTTATCCCTGTAAATATGGAGCGTTTTTTCGTCAGATTTTGTCTCCCTCCACCTGTCATGGCTAACGATGATTCTTTCACTTCAGCTGGTTTTTAAGCTGTATTTTTGCAGCTGACTTTAACTTTTGATTCGGTTAAATNTCCTGATAAGTGAACATACAGTAAGTGTGTATGGCCTGAAGCCTGTGTTTACTCCACAGTGTCTTCAGCCGCAGCAGTTACAGTTAATGGAAATGAGCCAGAGCTCCACTGTGTAATTATTTTGTTCCTGTTTTTGCAGGAGTTTGGAGGCGAGCCACGTTTAACCACCATTTCCCAGAAACCTTTTGTTTCATAAATGGCTGCAAAAGAGCATTTAATTCTCACTTTAGTCAATGATTTATTTGAGTAACAAGCACTTAGTATCAACTTCAACTGTGGAGAATGGAGAAGGAAAACAAAGAGAAACGGATCAGATCGGCAGCAGCTGCTCTCAGACAGCAGTGACGCTCGGCGTCCTCTGTCCTGTCCTCAGGTCAAAGGTCAGATCTCTGCAGATTCATTGACTTGTCACTGACTACAGCTGTTGGAGGGTATTTAACCCTGTTGAAGCTCGGCTTCGTTGAGCCTCAATGGGGCAGGAGTGGTAACTTTTTTCAGGCTAGATGCTGATTGGATAAATGAGGCTGGAAAAATTCAAAAGTTGAATTCTTTTTGTTCAGTAAGGTCAGAAATGATCTTGAAAAATGACCATGAAATATCTGAAACCATAGTCAGATCAACAAAAGGAGCGCGGTACAAAAAGTTTGGAACCACGGGCTGATGAATTTATTACTGTAGAGGAATTTCTTCATTGAACAAAACAACTTTTATTTTGACGGACAGCTCTCTTAATTAACCTTTTGTACGAAACATTGATGGATAGTCTTGTGCCTGCAGCTAACCTGCTAATCCAGGAACCTTCCAGAATATTGATTTCTCAGTCTGCCTCCGATTCTGCTGAGGAAGAAATTAAATTCCAAATAGATTTATGTTTAAAGAAAAACAATTGACTTTATGAGTGGAAACACCTTTGTTTTTTTTGAATGATACAGGATCGAGTCGTTATTTTGAGGAGCTGCACTAAACATTTTGGAGGTAACTCCCCTCCTGCCCCCGCCCCCCCCTCTCCCCCAAGAGGGAGGCCAGGCCTATAAAACAGCAGTAAAATACCAAGTATAAATAGCCAGCAGGGTGACATTTTCAACATTGTGCTAAGCTTCTATAATTGCAAGTCGAGAACTTTTACATCAAGCGGCGTCGCCGTCTCAGCAGATAGAACAATGACATTTAAACATTAGGGAAACAAAGATGATGCGTCTCATCGTCCATAAAAGGCCACGCTGTCCTGACTGGACCTGGTTGTTTTGTCTCGTCTTCTCCTCAGACTAACATCAGATAAAAGACGGCAGTAAAAGAACAGGTTCTTAACTGAGCAAAGACAGAAAATCCTCATAAAAGCCCTGATGTGGTAAAAGGGTAAAAAGGCCTCGGTGCCTGGACGGACGTGTCCTCGCCGCCTGACAACAAAAGACACCGTTTCTGTTTGCTTTTCCTTTCTCTTCTTGTCTTTATGCGAAGTCAGATGATACAGAAGTTGAATAAAAATCTATTTGCATAATTATGGAAATGCAGGTGGATGTGAGTGTGGAGCAGAGTGGGGGGAGGAGGGGGAGTACAGATTCAGAGGTCACTGCATTCAGGAGTAAAGTGCTTAAATAAAGAGCGTCAGTCAGAAATGACAAATTCAAAAAAACTGGTAAATGTCACCAACTAATTAAAATATATATCCTAAAAAATATATATATCTATATATCCTGGTGGAGATCCATCGGCTGTTTATGGATGAGACGTGGAGCATATTTTTACATAACAATGTGAAGACAGTCAAACAGGAGCTGCGCTGTAAAAAACACATTAGCATGAACAGATTGTCCCATATCTGAGGAAAGGTCACGCCCAGTGTTTTCTGCTGATTTCAGCAAGAATAAACAAAAAAAAAATGGAAAAACCGTGCATCTGTACCATGTTTTCCAGCAGGAAAGTAACGTTTTTATCTTTCCATATCTTCGTCAGTAAACGTTGAACTGATGCAGGATTTATTTATTTATTTTCATTTTCTTAACTCAAGTTTATTTTTTAAAATGTCCCTGAAATTGGGTCGCCTGCTGTTGTCATGACGATAAAAATTAAGCAGTTGCAGAAAACAGAAATTTCAATTTTTTTGTTCTGATGCTGGAGATGTTTTTAAAGTTAAACACACCCTCTTAGTGTCAGACACCAGCAGGGGGAGTCACGAGTGAGATGAGGAAGAACATTTGTGTTTTAAAAAGTGGAGTTACCTTCCTAACTCACTAACTAACCCTAACTTACATTTCTAGTTGGTCTGTTACTTCAGAACTGCACGTTTCTCAGTTACCGTGGCCCAAGGGTACAGTCACACTGCAGCCCTGTAGGTGGCAGTGATGCGTCGTACTGTACTGTACTTGGTGAAGGGCAGTGTTTCAAAGGAACAGATTTGACAAAACTCCAGGGGAAGAGTCTAAAAATAGAAACTTAATTTTCATCTTTGTAAAAATAGAAGTGAAAACAGACGGTTCATCAGAGTGAGGACAGAATTCAGTGATTCCTCTGGAGGTCAAGGACTCTCTGCTCAGGACCCACTGTATCAGCCGTAACGTGTGACTTTTCCTGATGCATCAGGGATCGGCTCATCACTAACCAGACCAGAGTCCAGAGTCCAGAGACCAGAGTCCAGAGTCTGGATATCTGGATGATGGCCAGCACTGACTCTATAATGTTTGGCGACGGCCAGCACTGACTCTATAATGTTTGGCTTCAAATTAGTCTTCATTACTGACCATTAAGGCTAATTTATGTCCCAGCATGCCTCACTCTCTTTATCTTACACTGTTGGCTTTGCACTGCTGCCATTAATAAAACAAATATTCATCTATAGGCAGAGAATATCCCGGCCAAAGACAACAGTGGTTAATGGCTCCATTGATTACACAAATCTGTGCTGTAAACACTGACACACACTGTTAGAGTCAACACCGCTCTGGGTTCTCCTGCAGGGGGCGGATCCTCGTCCCAGGGAGCACAGGTCGGTGCTGATGTGGGGGGGGGGTTAACAGGGGTGACGGGTGTCAGTGGTGAGTCTGACGTTTGAATTATCAGCTGTACGAGTCAGTAACTAAACTGGTGCAGCTGAGTGTTGTTTCTATCTTTAAATGCTGATTCATCTTCTTCAGTTAACGTTTGACTCAATATTAGTAGCTGTTAAAATCTTTCAGATTCGTCAGATTTTCTTGGCTGCTGATTTAATTACTTTTGTTTAAGTTTTTCATTGAAAATGTCAGCTAACCTGAAGCTACTGATCTTGGAACGTGTCCTGCATAATCGGTGTCGAAGCTACGGCAGCCTGGCAGCACATTTGCCCTGCAGGTGTTTCAAATATTAGTTTCTCTCTTTTTACCAAAACATTGAAATCCTGTGTCATCATCATTAAAGGTTAATCCAGAGAAATTAAGACTCCTAATCTCTGCTCCCGCTCTCTGACTCTGACGGTCTCAAACCAGACGACATGTTTGTAAACGGATGTTTTTATCTGCAGCTCATCATCGACTCCGTCAGCCGCGGCCGGTGTTCAAAGCTAATCTCTGCTCGCTGCTTCCGTGGCCACTTTAGATGTGTTCCTGATGAAGTGAAAAAGCTTCTCCGGTTCCACAGTCAACCGCCCGGGAGAGGAGCGTGATTTTCCAGGGCTCTCTGGGAGGAAAAAAAAAAAAAGGCCTGTGTGTTGTTTCTGCTCTCTAACTGCACATCGACTCGAGAGACTGCTGATTGTGGAGCTTGGAGGGCTTCATTGCCATTCAGCTCGAGAGGAACTGTTCTCTCAGCGAATTAGCTTGATCACTCCTCCCTGGAGGAGCGGAGCGAGGGAGTGGATAAAGAGGGAGCGCTGTAGATACGACTCAGGACTCCCCCAGAATAACTTATTCTGTGAAACGCTGTAATAGGTCTCCAGCAGCAGCAGCCTGAGACCCTCCGGTTGTTGCGTTCTTAAATTCACTTAAAGAGCAGAAAAAAAAAAAAAAGAAAAAAGCTTTTGCTGAGATGAATTCCAATTTTTTAATGACACGAACTTTTCTTCTCCGTGGACTGGAGCCATGTTGGAAGTTTATTTAGTCTCAAATAAACTTTCTACTGGGAACTTTATACCGCATAATTAACCTTGGGGCCGCACGGCGGTGGAGTGACTAGTGCATTACAGGTTGCTGGTTCAATGCCCACAGTACAAAATCGGTGATGCAGTTAGTTTTTTACTCACTTTACTCTGACTGAAGGTGTGAATGTGAGTGTGAATGTCAGTGTGAATGTAAGTGTGAATGTAGCAGAAGAAAGGAGAAGAAAGTTGTTGATACGCTGAAATATGGTGATATTTTTTGTTTCACGATGTCGTGGTTTCTTTCTATTAATAATTAACGTTTTCTTATTGCATCTTGTGTGTGTGTGTTGTGGTCAGACTGATGTGTGTCCGGGTGTCCACTTGCCTACTGGAGACATCTCAGGAACGCTGGCGGTGTACGGCCCCTCCAGGAACTTGGGCTCGTTGTCATTGATGTCCTGAACCTTGATCACAAACTCCGACTCCGGCTCCAGAGGCCTGTTGCTGTTGATGTCCACAGCCTGGGCTCTCAGCGTGTAGTAAGGCTTCTCCTCTCTGTCCAGGCTCCGTAAGGCGTGGATGTCTCCTGTGGTTTGGTCGATAGTGAAAATGGAGCCGGCCCCCTCCCCAGAGAGAGTGTACTTCACCACGCTCTCCCCCTTATCAAGGTCGGTGTGAAGCTGTGAGACAAAAAGCAGGAGAAAAAAGAAGAAACGACAGGTTGAGAGCAAACACTGAGCTCAGATAATGATTCATTGAAAACACAGGGGACGAGCTGTCAGAGAAACAGTGTCAGGAGCCGAGCTGAGCAAAATGACAGAGCTTCACAGAACAAATTCATGTTCCTGCAATCATCTGCAAACCTTAAAGTCACAGGGAAAGAAGTGGAGAGACGGCAGAGTGTCTGAACGTCTCAGATTAATGAGAGGAAATCTTGGGCGAATAACGGATACTCTCTGAGGAGCAGTTACAGCCACGCTGACAACGGCTCATTTTTATCAAGAACAGACGACGGCTGATTATTTATCTCCCTGCGTGGTAAAGATCAGGGACCAGGATGTGAACCTCCTTCCTCCCTCTTCTTCACAACACTTTGTGGAGCCGAGATGGCAGAATCATTTTTCACATTTTCTCTTTTTAAACACAGTCATTCAGCTCCAAACAAACGCCATTATTTCTAATGGGAATGTCACTGAATCTGAGTGTTCAGGCAAAGTGGTTTCTGTTTCTCCTTATTTAACTATTAGCTCAGACCATTAGCTGAAGAACTCAGAACAAAAGTTTAAAGTTAAAAGAAAAAACACAAATAAATCAGCTTAAAAAGAAAAGAATTAGCCAAAAAAACAAACAACAAAAAACTAAGTCTCGAAGTGAATAAACCTGGTACAGAAATAGGAAACAGGAGACAGTGAAAGGTTAGCTTGGCTATAGATCTGGGTATCCTAGATATCCTAGCTAAATGTTATCCTGTCCATGTCGTTAGCTTCGACTTTTGGACTTAGCTACTTTGGCTAAATGACTATAAATGAGGCAGTAAATCAAACACTAAAATCAAAGAAGTTAAACCTTATCCTTATCCTCCCCTAAGGGTCAAAAATGAAATGTAAATAATGTTACTAATGTAATCCTAATAATATTCCTCGCTGCTGCAGCATCATCATCATCAACATCGGCAGCAGCAGCAGCATCAGCAGCAGCAGCATCATCAGCATCAGCAGCAGCAGCATCAGTCACAGAAGGTTATTGTTTCCGTGTGACAGGACTAACTACAGCAGCAGTCGTCACCGTGTGTGTGTTCATGGCCTGATGACAATTCCTGCACACACTGCCCCCCCTCCCTCTCTACCTCTACCCCCAAATATTTACAGCCTGTAATGCATTGGGATCATTACCATACACAGCCTGGATATGGATTTTTTTATTCTGCTTCCTCACAACAAACAATGTCGGTGAACAACCGTCAGAGTCAGGAGTAAAAACCATCCAGTCCACAATCTTTACTGAGCTTCATCTGAAAATGTTCTTTCACTGCAGTACCACGAACTATTGGCCACTTCAGAGTAAGAATCAGTACCAGGAACTATTGGCCACTACCACGAACTATTGGCCACATCAGACTAAGAATCAGTACCAGTTTTATCAAAACCAACAGTAGAATTATTCACTAACAACCTGATGTTTTATTTATTTATTCATTTATTTATTTTTCAGTCTACATTCTCCACGCCGCCGCCGTGAAGAGACGAAGTCTGATACGATCACTGCTGTTTCAGAGGAAACTCAGTGATGACAGGTTTGGAAACGGCAGCAGCTGATTGGTCCATGAGTCTGTCAGTCAGTAAACATCTGTGTTGGATCCATCGTCACAGGTGAGTCCACAGGACGGAGAGGTTGGGGGTTACACTTGATTGATTGATTCCCACGACTGAAGACGTAAGATGTTAAAGAAAAAACACAGATTTTACATAAATCTTGTTTTTTCCCTGAAAGTCGGTAAAAACGTCTGTGGTTTTTATTTCCCACAGACTGTAATCCTAAAATATCAGACTTT